TCAGGATGTATTAGAGTATCTCTTAGTTGTACCTTGAGAAAAGTCTTCAACAGAACTCATCTCTTTAAAATCACTGCAAGTTGTGTAGATATGAAAAAAATGAAATGGACATTGTAAAAAGTGTCAGGACTCCAGACCATGAAGACACCTTAGTGTTAAACTTATTTCAAATTAAAGAAACAATTCTAGGCTAACATATGAAATTTTAGTCATTAGCTCTGTTCAATTTCCTACAATGTATTAATCGGCAAAACTTAGCCAACAAGTTACAATTTGATTTACTCACCATCAATTAGAGACAGTCAGAGCTAACTACACCGACCGGTGTCACCAACCTCTCTCCCGGGGCACTGGGAATAGAAGCAGACTGAACCACTCCAGGGAAGGCGACAGATCCCTCCTGCTGCCTTTTTTCCCCCCCTCAAAAGAAAAATCTCTGATGTGCCTGGAAGCAGGTCCTGGCCAGCAAATCTTGCCTTTTTTATCCTTGTTTAGCCTAAATTAGTGTCCCAAGGACAAAAACGTTGAGCTGTATTTATTATTAGTGTTAACAAACACATTCTGCAACAACACAAGAGCACAGAACAGACCTCAAGGTCTGGTCTATCTGCCACAACAAGGTAAGAACTTGTGCTCATTAAGGGACAACTGTGCTCTAACCCACAATAAAAAAGGCAGCTAAAATACTTTTGTAGTACCCCCAAAACTTATTTTTGCACTTGCCATGGAAAAATCACACAACTTAGCCCAGATGTCACCAGACAGTCTCTAAACTGCAGGCTATTCTGTAGAAGTCCCACCTGTGGCTGGGTAACTAAGAAGAGACCTTCCTTAGCGTGGCTCAAGGAGTGAACTCATGTGCTGAGCTGGAAAAGGAGCCAGTCTCCTCTGCCAACTCTCCGTGTTCAAAGATACTGTAATTCCCATCACGTTTCCTCCCCATATTCTTTACCTTTTTAAAATGGCAGTAATGAGCTATTTAAAACGTGCCAGGTTAAAATAGAATCTTGCAGTAACAGAAAAATTCCTTATTGGTGCTTGATGAACGTAACACCCAGCCCAAGTGGGAGGGCTCATTTCTGTGCTAAGGCTGCCTTGCACTGGCTAAGCCACAGCAAACAACCATGACCATTTATAATAGTCTTATTCTGAAGCATGAGATTAGACCAGCAGGACTTCTGGTTTATTCTGTAACTTTATGGAAGAATGAATTAAGTATACCTGGACATATATCAAAGGCTCCCATAGCCCGAGTAGCCTCCATACCCACTCTGGGTAGTACACACTAGGACTCCCTTACTGGTGTAGTCAAAAACTTTCCTAGGTCTTCCTTCCAAGCCAATTACTACCTATCTTTCCCTTGAAGGTAGCTGAAAACATGTGAACACTAGATTTTCTAAAACAACTCTCAACATCCTTGAGTTTTGTCCCACCCCAATATCCTATTTGCTAAACTAAACCATAGCAGCGTCTTCTGCATGTTACTTGTGTTGTCATATTCTGCAATTTGTCTACGCTCTTCTCAAAAGCGTGGTGTCCAAAATTGAACACATTATTCTAGCTGACACCTGGACAGAACCAATATTCAGAATAGAATATGAAATTCCAGCACCTGACAAAATACTCCTGCTACTTCAGTCACAGTGATGCTGTATTTTTCCTGTGTGTCAAACCACGCGTACTGTGGAGTTAACGCTGCTTACACTCCACAGATTTTCTGAAATAATGCTGCCTGGTCAGAGATTTCCCAGTGGCAGTTCTAAGAGAGAATTTTCATTCCTAAGCATGGTGTTTCATCAGCATTTTAAATTTTCAGGTTTTTTTCTACAGCTTATGAAGATCTTTCTGAACTCAAATCCTGCCCTTTGTGATCATTTCCTCCCAGGCTAGTGTCACTTGCAAATGTAAATAAATAATTGCATAGCTGTTGATATGTCATCAATACTACAAAGGAAAAATCTCATTCAAAACAGCAATGTTTTGTCTAATAAAGAACATGTGTTTGATGTCAGGAATCAGATTTCAGTGCAATATTACACCACTCACAGAAGCGGCTAACAGTGCCACACTGCAGTAATGCTGGAGCTCCCACAGATAGAAGCTGAGACTGTAATTTCAGTAAAACACAGTGCAGTGCTTTGCCAGACAACTTACTATTTATTGCTAACCTGACGGCATCCAAATCAGCAATATGCCACAAAAAGACGACTCTATGAAGGCTAAGTCATATCAATATTAAAATAAAATAGGTATTGATAGACAGAAAGATATTAATAGTGCTGTACAGTATCAGAAAATCCAGTACAGTATTCAATAGAATTCAAAGGTCTATCTGACCCAAAAGACAGTATCTCAGTGTATTACTTTTGTATTAGAAACTACTGGTACTAAAAGTATATTACAGTATCATGGAAGAGATCTCCAAGGTTTTGCTATTCTTCCTTAGACAGCAAGCCCCAGCGGACTGTTTAATAGGAATGTGTTAATTTACCTAGCCAATCTTCTTTTTCTATAATGAGTTTGCTTTTATTATAGGCATATACTTAAGAATATGAGGTAATTAATGAACATTTCTATATTTATACAGATGACTTGTTCCACAATTTCATTAGACTATCCAGTCTTCTCTAGCCATTGTCTGTTTTTCTGTATGCAATCATATGATCAAATAGAGTCATAGTCTCAAAAATTATTTCAATATGGCTGAAGCACGCAGAATTACCATTATCCGTTCTGTAAATAAAACAATTCAAGCAATCCTGAATATTTATATAAATGTGCATTAACTTAGTCATTTGATATATGTCTGATTTTTCTGCTTCCAAGTGCGAGCCTTTTTATTGCATATTTGTAGAGAGCTGCCAGCAAGGCACAGTATCAGAGGATTTACAACCGTGAGGGTAGAATGCCATCTGCTGCTATCCTTGCTGCTACAGCAGGATAAAGGAGCACCACACAAGCACTGCCTTCTGTCTTTATCTTAAGTGTAAAACGTATACAAACATATCATTTTGTTTTATTAGAAAAAAAATAACCAAAACCGCACCAGAAGTAGTAGCTCAGATGCCTTTACACACAGGTTTTGTTCTAAGATCCGGTAAAGCAATGTAACACGGACCACAGGATTCTACAAATGCAAATGAGAGGCTGTTGTATAAGGCCTACTAGAACAAAAAACCAGAAAGTGTAATTTGACTGCAAACTAAATTATACTGGTAGATAATGTAATAAAACCATTAAAAAAAAAGCACACTTGGAAAATGCATTTGCGATGAGATATGGAGTTGCCAGACTAAGGCTTGAACACAGAAATGCCTCTTGAACTGTAAGGCAGCATGAAAGCTTTCCAAAATCCCCCCTTTGCCAGCCTGCTTACATACAAGACAGGTCATAAGCAACGGCAGTATATAGAATATGAAAAATCACCAGTTTAATCATGTCCACTTATCCAGGTGGGGAGAGAAACCAATACAATAAAACAAAACAACACCGTACCACTTGCTTAAATTCACCCTACAGTTTTCCCCCACGTCCTTTCGGTAAAAGTTAATTCTTTCTGTTCAAAGTGTTCTTCAATCAATCAAACGGAAACATTAGCCAGTATTTTACTCAATAATTAACCATTTAGCCTTGCACACACAATGCAATCGCAAAGGCAGGCTTACGGTTACTCAAAGCACATTGCTGAGCTGGATAAATTCATATGTATTGAATTCTGGTGTAGCTGGCAAATGTTCAAGTTTAACATCGTTTTTCTACCAACAACAGAGCTCCAGGTGATTAAGTATAAATAATGCACTTCATTTTTTTGCCCGCTGCTTCACCCGTACAAATGTTTCTTCCAGCTTTCTATAAGGATGGACATAAAAAGCTTGGGTATATGATTTCCTATGACAATGTGCTATAGCATGCCATAGATTGACAGGGCTTCTCCACACGGTTACACCTCAATCAGAACATAAGGCAAAATAAAATCCCTCAAAATCAGACAGAAAGGCAAAATAAGCTGGGAACTACAGCTCAGAATAAGAACTATTGTACAGCCACGATACCTTTTAATTGCCATCAGCAGGAGTTTTGTTAATGAAAACACCAGGAGCACGAGCACATTTTTACTGTGTACCTTCTGTTACTCAGCATTAGAGAAGTGCACCACATTTGAAAATAACAAATCAGCTTTCACAACTGAAAGGAACACGTTGCTTTCATGAAAAAGTAATTCAGTATAGCGTAAAACTTTATTTTTAATATTAAGTGAGGAACCATTCAATAAAGTTGAAGTACAGTTCAAATCTGAAGGGATAAAAGAATCCTTGAGATTGGGACCTTCCACCAGAAAGCGAGGATAGAGTACTACACACGTAAAACCAAATCTCAGTCACTGTCACAACTCTTGCTAAAGATTTGCTTGGGGCTTAAACAGAATTCTTTCCGTCTTTCTCAAGATCAATTGATCTCATCTTACTGACATTCTCTTTATAACATCTATATTATGACTGTCCCCTACAGTTAAGGTGAATTAACTGCTGCCTCTTCAAAAATGCATCTTACTTTTCCCTCTTCCCTATTTAAAATGCAGAAAAGCCAAGTAATGTGAGAAATACAGTGGAAACCACATAAATGAGTAACTGTCAAAAGAACAGAGCTATTAAAAGAATAAATCTTGTGTACCCAGCTGTGAAATATAACACAATATAGCAGAACCCAGCTAAATGTTTGAAATAAAAAATTGAAATGCAAAGTAACCTAAAATTGTTTAATGAACATAGCTGTTAAAATATTAACTCCTTGTATGCCAAAACTCAAAAGCACAGATGGCAGGAAGCTTGTGCAGATGAACAGCACATTCACAAGTTACCTACCTCTATCCATCGGTCTCTCCGTCCAGCCAATCTGGCCCCAGCTAAGCTCAGGAACTTTGGTGGGGAAGGTTCACCCAGGGATCAGTTTCCACAGAGGCTCTTTTATTTCAAATGCTGTGGTTTATGGCAAATATTTACCTTTGAGGTGAGCTGAAGTTGGTCCCCCACATACGTTTTACGGAACTGATCCAAGAACCACAGAATTGCCAGTTCTACTTTTTCATTACTGGACTGTGGTAACTGGGCATCCATCAAAGGTATCAGCTGAAAAACGCTTAAGGATAGAAAAAAAACCCACCATTTTCAGGAAGAGTTCTCAAATTAAATTATTTTATTACATCTAATTTCTTTAGGAACCCATCAGCCATTTTTTGTATGCCTAAGTTTCTTCTAGGATTTTGTTCTGCTTAGATGCTAATTATGCTAATTGACCACTATTAAACATAAACATCAACATAATGCTTTTCTAATTACTTTGTCACTTGAAATTTTCTCAGATACATATGTTAAACTGTGATGAGTTTGTAAAATGTGGTTTTTTTCTTTCTTAGAGCATCGATTCTACGATGAAAGAAACAAAGAAATTTGAGAAGCATGAGTCTTAAAATCAAGTGCAAGGTAAGAGCTGTTCAAGTTTCCTGATAACAGAAACTCCTGTACCTAGTAATAACTTTACTTAGGCAGAATATAATGCACTGTTTGCCTCACTTCTTCCCACTTTTGTCAGTCCTAAAAATTGTGAACAAACATGTATTTTCTGACCTAAATCCTTACTTGGTATGTATCTCCATATGACCAGGACTGATTTCAAAGAATCTACTGCAACCTATGTCAGCTAAGAAAATTTAATTTATTTTTTTTACAAGAATATTCCTTTATTTAATTTCCCGTGTTCTTCTGCTATATATTCCTTGAAATGCTAATTCTCTAGCAATTCAAAAATTATTCTCACCTTTTGCCAATTCTGAAATACATAGTCAGTGGATTAGAAGTCAGTAGCTACTTCATCTGTAAACCTGAATATTAAAACCTCTCACTTTTAATAAAAACATAGTGGAAGACTGCTAACACCGCAGAGCCTCAGGGTAGATTAGGAAGGCAAGAAGCAAAGGAGAAAATTTAAAGCTTTTTAGCCAATTCTAAGTTGTACGTCCTTTTTCACGTGCTAGCTAGTGGATGTATGCATGCCTTTTTAAACACACTTGTGAACAAAAAGGATTAAGGAAGTGTTTGCCACAAGGAATGCATGTCATTCACAATAATCCCTAGCTCAGCCCATGTGCACACATTCTTAAACATAGTGCCTTCTTTTTGATTCCAAGCTGTAGTCTAAAAATAAGTCTAAATTTTCAATGGTTAACCAGCAGATCCTCTGCACTTCTTGATTTGCAATCATTAGTGTAATGTGCAGAAAACGATAGCCATAATCCACAACTATTAATATTCTTGTATACAAGTGTAATGCAAAAGCGAAAACAGGCATATCGAAACACTGCTTATAGCAAGAGACATATTTGCCTTTCATCCTCTGTAATCCAGTTTTGAAATTATAGCATTCATGACTCCCTCACTGCTCAGGAAAGATCAAAGCCAGTGGAATGGTCTCAACCACAGAGAGTCAGTGCAGTCCTTGAGCACCCATCACCTGAGAATTCCAACCAAACAGGACTTACCGACAGGATAATTCTCCATCCATGGCATCATGTTCATCAGTACTAGTGTATGTTAATCGTCCTCCCACAAAAGTACCCACAAAATAGACAAGCCATGCCAGACGTCCTAACATTAAAACGAAAGAAGAACAGTTAATGATTATAAACCATTATGCTAGTACAATACACTTCCACAAGGTATCAGCAGTTCTGTAAGGTACCAGACGGTGGAACGCTGTCAAGAGAACAGTTAGGCTTTTCGCTTTACCAGATTTAAAAACTATCTGGCAAATCAACTAACAAAAAACTCTGAGCAGAACTGACAGATGAACTGTAACAGTCTATTACCCTGGACATGCTTATAAATAAAACACAAAAGAATTTACCTAAAACACAAATTAAGCCAACTCAGCCTGGTAAGATTAGACATACATTTAATCCAGTATCCTCAATTGCCTGCCACAAGTTACTTCCAGACATGGAATAATTTTATCTACAGTGGGGCTATTACATCTACTAATCAGAGCATTAGGAAATAATTGAGACTTGCTACAATCCACTTGTTTCTTAGTTCTAATTCAAAGAAAGAATTCTCTGTAATGTTAAATTACTAAAGTGATTTGCACATAAGAAAATACATCATAGATCAGACATACTCTTCAAGAAAACAGTTTGTGAACTACCACATAGTTATGAAAGTCTCTGCAGACCATTTTCTAAAAGGGTTTGAAAGACAGCACATCCATTTGAAGCCCTGCTGCCCTGCCTTCTCACCTTCCGGAGTACTTGGCTGTCACGTTTCCACTAAAGCACTCAGAGGACCCACCGGCAAAGTCCTTATCAAGTACAGTACAACATAAGGATCATAATTTCTGCAAAGCTAGGGCTCCATAAATAACTCACTGAGTTGGTGTATGTAGAGTATTTTGTACACACTTTCAAATACTAAAAGCCCACTTTATAACTACAGAACTCTTAAGTTTACAAACACTAAACTTGGGGGAATTCTTTTGGCCTCTCTGATGGAAAATCATTGCCATGTTGCAAAATCTGGATTATTTTAATCTCTCTGACACATTAAGGTAGCATATCTTTAAATTTGACCTACTGATAACTACTCAAGCTATGCAGACTTGTGCTTCAGCTTTTTAAGCTGAGTATCCAGTAATTAACAGTATCTTCCCCCAGGAAAAATGCAGTACTTCCCCCTAAAGTAAGGTCAAAACTAAGACCTGAATAGCAAAGTAATGCATAGACCTGTTAAAACTCCAGGACACCGCTAACGGTTTCTTCCTCAACTGAAATACACTGAGACTACGGGACAGTAAAGCTACTTTTAGACTCCATCTTCATCTGGCAAAATACATTTTTTAATAAATTAAAATGAACTGGTTGAAAATAACAACACAACAAAGACAATTTGGAAACATTTCCATTTAAGTTTCAAACAAGGTTCTCAGTAAGTATTCACATAAACTAGATGTCTTGCCCTCATTACTATGATTTTACCAAGTGATGACAGCGTTAACTTACAAGACTGAAGACAATACCCTGACGAATAAAGTGTCTTCCGAACTCATTTTGAAGTTTAACATAAAGGATAAACTAGAGATAAACAGATGAGGTCACACTATGACTGTAAAACAATATTTTATTTTGGATATTTCTAAATACGTATCAGGACATGCACAGTATCTATCAGAAGTCTTGAGGTTTTATTTCATGTTTGTGTCAAATCTCTAATAAACTAGTCTTCATTTACATAATATTAAACATCACTTAATTTCCCTTATGTTTTGCATTGTTGTATTTTGAAAAGCTCAGAACTGTGAGAGCACCGAATGCTCTACTTCCCAAGCTCCTTCAGCCACGAACAATTAATAGTTCTGAGATGTTTTGTCCTTATGGCCCAAATTTGAGGACAATATATCATATACATGACGTCATATATATATGACTATACAGCATAAGCAAATCTGTTTCAATCAAGAAGTATATAGTACATTGTGCTGTATCCATAAAAAAGATGCTGAGGCGAAACACACACAAAAAGATAGAAAGAGTATGGAATAACATGCAGGTGATTTCAACACAAGTAGAGGAAAGCATTAAGGGTTATCTTAATTCTCAGTCTTATTGAAAGAAAAACAAAATCACGATCATACGGATATGTAATACAGTTTGAGCCCTGTAACAGAAAACGCTTTGTGACAGGGAACAAGTGCTGACTTTGGAGACAAGACATATATGAGGAAGGCTTCAACTCCTAATAATCTGGGAAGACAGGATCAGCTCTCCAGCAACCAACGTATTTCCCTATTTCAAGACCTCTGCTTCTTCACGAACGGGACACTTCCAAGGACAACCCCACCAGACACACTGCACACTGCAATACAAACAGCTGTTCGTTAGGACACTTGGAGATGGTGCCATCGTTAGCAAAACACCAAGGAGCTGAAGTGTCTTAGAGTACAGACACCGCTCAGATGAATTTAGCAGCAACAGCTAAATGGCATGGCCATTTGAAGATGGTATCAAAAAGCAACTGTGAAGTGGTGCTGGCTGGTTCAAAGAGCAGAGCCACCACTTTGGCCAATAGTCTTTTTAAAAAAAACCCCCTGTCTTCCTTTTTAAAAATCGCAGTAGCTCATTTCTAAGTACATAGGTATTTTCCTGATGATAGCCTTCTTCTCTTAGCACAATACCAATTAATCGGTATGACTTCTTTCCCACTTTTATACCTTCACTACTTAAAATTTTCAGTGCATTTGCCTTCGCAATTACTCAGGCAGACAACATCTTTTCTTTTAGAAAATAATTATTGCTGTAATAATCTGTAATTATGGTTTATAACAGCAATAATCCCAAAGAAATCAGTCATTACCATAGATCACAAGTAATCATTAACTACTGTTAATGACCCATTTCTTGGGGATTATTGTTTTAGTAAACCATGACCGCATCACTACTGATACAGAGAGCAGGACGGCATAATAAAATGAGATCTTAATATTACATTAACTTATTTTGCAACATTAAAAGCCATTAAACATCTAAATTTAACTATGTATATCTAGGGAATATAACAGTTATCGTTCAATATGAGCACAAATGTTTAGTTTGCAGAAAAGAAACACAATATTTAAACTGCATCAAAGGTTTCCTAATGCGTAACAGCAATCCCCAGAGCACCGCCACCGTGAGACTCCCTTTGGTCCCCCATGACTGGGGAACAGAGTAGAAATTCAGACTGCAGCTGGTCAGTGAGATCAGGTCACTAATGAAAATTCTCCCAAATAAAAGTTGATAGGTGCATGGAAGAAAGTGGAATTAATAAAAAAGCTAAGTAGGAGGTCTTATACAAGCTAGTGACAAAACGGCTCCTACACAGAAGAAAATCAGCATTTTCAAACTCAACAAAAGAACGGCAAAATAAATCACAAACATTGAATAGCATGCAAAGGAACAGCTGTATGATGCAGTAACCTGTCTCACCTTTTCGAAACAACACCATTTATCCATGTAAAGATGCAACAGCCATAAGATAACTATATTAGGAAAGAGCCAGTAGTTATAAAGACAATTTAAGTGAGCCAGAGAGGACTGAAATAGGTATATGAAAAAATATAGAAAATTTATTTCTACAAATTACACTACAATAAATAACTTGAGTTTCTTGAAAAGTTAGGTAATTCATCTTAATAGAGCTGTATAAAGTAAAGTTTTTAATGTTACATTAATTTTTAGGGAGAGATAAATGCAAAAAGAATGAAAGTTAACATCTCCATTTTCAAAAAATGTTCATCAAGTTGCAGCTAGTTCCCATGAGGGCACCTGAGGCATTCAAATGTTGATTTTTCATAAACGGAAAGTTTTTACAGCTCTCATGCCTATATTCTGAAGATGTAACAAGATGTTAAAACAAACACATCCACTGACAATATTCCCTATTTAATACAAAGACAACTAGTGAAAATGTGGTGCAAGGTAATTTGGGTAATTACTTCCCAGTTTGTGAAAAGGTCTAGTTACATCTAGTTACATCTGCCATTCTCTTTCATATACAAGTATATGGTTATTGGCACATAAAGCAGTCTAAAAATTAAATGAAATACTAACCTTCCTGAACTGTGATTTCTAATGGATTCCTACTAGAAGAGTGCAATAGCTTTTGGTAGTTTTGTGCATTTTGGTCAAACAACTGTACAAGAAGAGTACAGGTCTTTTCATATTCACACCTGCTAACTGTGCACAGTTGCTCCAGCTGTTGGAAAACTGTAGCTGTGTCATCCAGTGGGTCTTCTAAGCCATCTCTGGAAGAGAGATAAAAAACAATCACTTAGCCACTATTGCTTAAAAGCTGTTTTCCCAGCCAGATCTTGTACCACTGTCACTGAAGTGCAGAACTATAAAACCCTTAGCAGCTAGTGACATATGATCTCATTTTACTTACACACATACCCATACACATCCACACAAACACAGGGCAGTATTCTTTCCGTGCTTTCCTCTTAACATGTATTTTAACAAGCAAAGAAGAGAAGAGGTTGGCAGTATGAACACAGAAAGCTGAACGAAATACTTAATTTAGATAGTCTTAACAGAAGAAAGAGTAGTGGGGGGAAAAAAGACTTTTTTTAAAACAATAAAGGCCCAGGAGAAGAAACAGCCAGAATTTACATTTGATTTTAGCCTGGATTTAGTAAGCAAAAGAAGTGAAATGATATCAGCTAATTAAGAAAACCTAAAGAAACCGCCACGGTAATCACAACCAGTGTAGTTAGATTTGAAACGTAACACAAACACAATACGCCATATTCCATATTACAGTCTTAAAGTTGCAATTACAAGTTTACCTTATAACTACAGGAACACATTCCAGTCTAGAAGTAATATAAGCTTTTGTTATCTCAGGTGCATACGTATCTAAGAGGTGGGGTTCTGCCGTTTTCACAAAAGGTACAGACGCGACCATTCTTTGCCACAGATTTAGCAAATAATGAACACTATTTGGAGCGAACTCCCAGTGCTACAAGAAAACAAAACATGCTTCTGTTAAAGCATCCCAATGTGAAACTTCAGTTGCAAAACATCCTGCTTTTAGCTTAAGCAGTCTTATTCAAATACCTACTGAAGTACCCAGTTAAACTGAGACAATCTATGGCACATCTTGTAGAGTAAATCCAGAATGACTTGTAGGTACTCTCACCTCCTTCAACTGAAATCCACAATTTCAAACTCAGAGCTAGGCCTAGATTCTTACACAGTGCATGGTGAGATTTAAGTGTTATCAAAGGGCCATTCAAAAATCCTAAATGTTGAGTGGGAAAATGCTGAAAGCCACTTCACGAGGAATGTAAAGAACAGAAATGCATTTCAGTTTTCTTTTTACTTCCAATCTTATAGAGCTGCCATTGGCAACTCAGGAATTCAAAGGTCAAAATCTTCTCCTAATAGTCACTATTTTCAGCTGTTCCGAAGACCACAGACACACTCTGGAGGAAATGCTAAAATACCAATTGCAGTATTACCCAAACAGCAGGCAAGCCTTTACCTTGGTGTGTTTAAAAAATAAATCTGTGAAATTGTTAACACTGACAATCCTGATCATGTGATATGTGTCCTTCTCATACAGATGTGGTCCCTCAAAAATTTAGACGTTATTCCACGTAGCTTCCGAAACCAGCTCAGATGGGAACTTTGCCCTCAGCACACAGGCAGCTCTGTGCACGTGTGTACACATGTATGTACCCGTATGCACAACAGCAGAACTCCAGAAACTAGTCAGTGCAGGCACTTCAAAGTTTACATGGGAACAGAGGTGTAAGTATTTCAGGGCTGGATAAACGGTTTGGTTTGTTGGATTTTTTTTCTGAGATTGATTGAGGACTAAGGCTGGAGGATTCACATCCAACTCGCTCCTCCTTCAGTTGCAATTTTCTTCTTTAAATCTGCTCCCATTACAAAACATCACAGGAAGAGAGGGAATCAGTTATAGAGAATTTAGAAATCTGAGTTACACAACTAACAATATATTTTTATCTAAAGATAACTCTTCAAAAAATATCAAAGCAGAGAACTGGGATTGGTTCTCTTTGTCATTCAAGAACTGAAGAAAAGAGAATATTTCTGTATATATTGTTACCTGTAGGCTCGTAATAGTAAAATTTGCTATAAGTTGGACAACTTCTGGGTAATCTTTCACCACTACCAGCTCTCCAAGTTGATAGTTTGTCTTCAGCTGAGCCAAAAACCGACAGAATTCATGGTAATTACCCGGATCACATAAACCCTAAGTTTGAAGAAGGAAATTTTAAAAAGTTAACAGCTTTATCTAATAGAAATTTCAGAAACAAAATTGCTAATTGAGTGATAATTTTATCTGCATAGGGGGTTTGCTTTCTTTTGAATAGAAAAATAAAGTAAGCAAAAGGTCTCACTGAAAGTGCTTTCTACAGATTTAGCAGATCAATGAGGACTGCAACTGGCAAAACAATTCCACAGCTCTTTTCATTTCAAATAAAAAAAAAAAATCAAGAGATACCTGTGGATTTTCAAGTATTTGCTTCACTCCCTTCATTAGATTAGCAAGATATTTGGCACGTTCTGGATTGCTGAATAAAGATCTTCTTATAGAAGCAAACTGAACTAAACAAGAAAGTGCCTGAAGAATAAAACAAAATACTGTAAGATTTAAAAAAATGCAAACTTTCAGAATAACCATCTCAATGTTTGAAGTAATCCAACCTACTGCTCTCTGTAGTGCATTCTGTGGCTGAAGACTATTTTTGCAGCAATGTCTATACAACCATTGAACACAAATACGGCTCATTTCTGAAGTGCCCTTTTACAACACTTTCTGTCTTCATCCAAAAAATTAGGTGGATATTTTCTGTGTGGCTGAGTAGGGCTGAACTGGTGAAGGATCTGAATGCTTTCAAATTCAGAAATAAACACAGGGGTTGAAGTTCAAAGAGAAGACATCGTGACTGGGCTCTGAGCCAGGGGACTCCTAACATGCTAATGCACAGAACAAAACAGGATCTTTTTGGACAAAGTATAGATATAAAAAGACTATTTTCCATAATTACTTGAGTGTAAATCACTACGTGTCACTTACTAACTGAGACAGCATTGGTGGGAGAGAATGATACAAATCAAAAAACAGGTCCAAGGTCTCTGGCTCCAGGAAGACTACGGAAAAAGATAAGTTGGTTTTATCACTCTCTACAAGCAATCATTATGTATCTTTATTTTAATAGATCATCTAGTTTTAACAAAAAAAAAGAAGAGTGACATATCACTGTAGTTGAGAACAAACTATGAATAGATGCATTAATTAGTTCATTGCACAATATTAAACAAAGCACTGCTTTTATCACATTGAATCTATCCTACAGCTCATGAAGAAGACTGCAGATGACGCAGTACTTCATCCAAGCAGGCATGCTCTGTGTTTAATGACTAAAGGGAGTTCGCTCTATGGACAATTTAAAGTGTCTGAACTAAAAACCTGGGAAAACCTATTCCCTTCTCCGTTCTAGGGGGTCTTGGGAAATTACTGCCACTTGCTCGAATTGAGCCTTTTGTCAGTATGACCCTGCTTGCTAGTTATCACTGCTTGTCACCTCTCACACTGCAGTTAGAGGCTACTGCACATTAATGGTGAAGGAATGGAGTTATGCATGGAAAGTGATGAAGACTCGTGTCAGTGAAAGAGCAATATCAATCACTACAGAGTGTCATGCTAGATTTAAGCCTCCTACCTTGAGCACAGGAAACTGTGTAGCAGCTTTAGCTAGATAGAATTCCCATCAGGCTCATTTATTTTGCCAAGAAGCAGGATAAATTAGCCTACAAGGAGGTACATGTTGCTAGCACTAAACTGTGCCCATCACCCAAGGCAATTTTATTAAAGCTAGCTTGGACATTGTGCAGGATTTCCTTGGCCAGGTTTTAGAATCATAAAATCATAGAATGGCCTAAGCTGGAAGGGACCTTAGAGATCATTTTAATCCAGCCTCCCTGCCGCCAGGGACGCCACCTCTTGACTAGAACAGGCAAAACACATGGGGACCAAACGGGAATTTAGTAGCAGGGCTGGCTTCTGTGAGAAGCTGCGAGGAGCTTCCCCCATGTCTCATGAAGCCAAGGCCACCTGGTTCAAAGACAGACCCACCGGTGGCCAAGGCTGAGCCTACTGGCAATGGCAGAAGCCATCATCACCTCTGGAATAACGTATCTAGGAAGAAGGAAAACTGCTGCATGAGAGCAGCCAGAGGAGAGGAGTGAGAATATCTGAAACAACCCTGCGGACACCAAGGTCAGTGAAGAAGGAGGAGGAAGAGGAGGTGCTCCAAGCACCAGAGCAGAGATTCCCCTACAGCCCCTGGTGAGGCAGGCAATGGCCCTGCAGCTCATGGAGGTCCACAGCGGAGCAGAAATGCACCTGCAGCCCCAGGGAGGACTCTACACTGGAGCAGGTGGATGCCTGCAGGAGGCTGTGGCCCCGTGGGAAGGCCGTGCTGGAGCTGGATCCTGGCAGGACCTGTGGCCCCTTGCCGCTCACGGAGAGGAGGCAGAGAAAATCAGGAATGAACTTGGGCCCAGGAAGTCAAACCTCTAGTCAGCCAAGATGCAACCCTTCCAACGACTTCATTAACAAGCTCACATACTACAGCAAAAAAAACCAAGCCACAAACAATTCAAAAACCAAACAAATAAACAAACAAAATCACACAATTTCCTCATCAGCAATAGGCCAAGAAAAAAACAGGCACGCTGCAAATGCCATACCTCTTCAAGGTGTTCATACGCCAGAAATAAGAATCGTATCAAAAGCCTAACCAGAATGATTTGACTTACTGTGGCTATCTATGTTACAGACCACATTTATTACTTCTGTCTCTAAAGATAACAACAGAAATAGTAGAGAAATAGCAGGTTTACTAATAATTCACCAGCAAGAAATACCACATTAAAAATTATTTTATGTTTGTAAGTATTGTAATAAAACAAGTTACATAAGCCACTGTGTATTGACTTGAGAGTACTAACAGTTATGATGCATTCTTACTTGTTTTCCAGTTTGCTGGAATCTGCACAGTGCATAGGTCATCTGCAGATTCATCAGCTGAATTTCCAATGAAATCAAAATTAAGACAGTTTAGTACAAGCTTCAAAAGCTGCATTGCTAGACTTTGTTGCTGTTGGTCCTGAAGGGTTAAAGATTTTGCCAAGAGCTAAGGAAAAAAGAAATCTTGTTAGGTCACCCACAGAGAACATGCTTTAAACACAGTTTTGAAAAGGAAAACATTTGGATATAAAACTGCAGAGTTTGGAGCAAGAGAACACTTATTAAGAAAAAAAGAAATCCTTCAACAATAAAACTCATAGTCTTTCCTTAATGAATTCTACATCAAGCTAAAGCTCCCAGACTTATAACCAATTTTAAAAAGCCTGGTGAAATACCTTTTTTGCATAAAATACTTAGAGGTAAATCTTGTAAAACTCCATGTTTTCCTCTTTCAGTTACTCTAGACAAGCATGAAGTACATTCCATACACAGCATATGGATAAAAACTATCTCAACAACCTTTTTTTTTTTTTTTTTCAGTTTGATGTTCAAGCTGCTAAACAGTACAGTGCTAAAAGGTACTTTGTAATGAAAACAAGCTGTTGGGATTTGGAACTCTATACTCAACATACTGCAAGTAACAGCATATTTTTATTGATCCCCTTCTGTAATTATAATAATTTGAATAATATTTTATCTTAAAGAAATTACTACCTCTAGATTACACACACAATATAAAGGCACTGAAAAAAAACCCTCTCAAATTCATTAGTCACTGATGTACACAGCTTGTAAACATTAAGAAAATCGACATAATTTTGTCCAGAAAAATAATAAAATAAATGCATTTGCAACAACTTTACCCAGTTTATCTGCTCCTTATTTAATTTCAAAATTACATTTCTCAAGTATTAACAAAAAGTTTTTTATTACTTTTTTAGCTAACACTGTAACATTAGGCCCAGCAAAACTGAGATAATTAAGTTAAGACAAACATAAAGACAAACTCAGAATTCAGATGGTTCATCCTTTATGGCAAGATATAGAGAGAGATGGCACAGAGAGAAATATTGAGACACAGCAAGAGACACATGGAAGGAAGAAGATTGGAATTTTTATCTTTTGAGCTTGAGCTTAATTGGGTCATGTAATCCATGTTAAGTACAGAATTCACCAACTCAGAAAGTATCAAGGACTCAAGTGGGACATTTTGATGCTAACATTTTTGTTTCAATTATGAAGTGTCTCACCTCCTTCAAAAGAGAGCACGCAAGCATCAGTATGTCCTTTAGAGAGGTATCACGGAACGAGGTAGCTATTTTACGATGTTTTGGTGAAGGTCTTGAATAATCAACCTAGGATAAGTTACGAGAGAATAAACAACGCTCCTTCTTTGCTAAAACCAGATGATAGGTATATCTGGCAGATTAATTATTTGACACTAGAAATGAAAATGCTGGCCCAGCACTAAATATAGATCTTGACAGCTTCCTGAAACACCTCCTTCTTTCCCTTTAAGGTTGTCTCTTTCTGGATGGAAAGGGGTGAGACACCTCCTCAGGTTAAGATGTAGGCATTAGCAGAAATAAAATTGGAAAAGTTGATAATTCACTCTGCTTTACTAGTTCTAGTGACTGTGATGACAGAAAGTCTACCCGTATCAGATACGGTACATTTTTGGTACAGGTAGCGTCCCTGCACTAAGAATTTCTTGTCTCCATCTATTTCAGTGATGGGGAGAAAGCTACAGGAGTCCCTTCATGTCTAAGAAGTGTTTCTCCAATCATTTTTGTGAAGGGCAGAAACATTCAATATACTGCTTTACCAGCAATGCACACATCCCTTTTAGAAGGAAAAAAACCCCAAACCCAAACACGCTTACTAGATTCATTTCCTGAGTCAGTTCTGAGAGAATCATTACTCCTACTACATAATGGTCCACAGTGCCCTACAGAAAAAAAACAGATAGCAATGCTCAAACGTCACAGCTTGTAACTAGTATTTTCCAACATTTTTACAATCAGGCTGTATTTAATACTTTCCAACATTTCTAGAATCAAGAGGAATTTTTAGGCTGAGATATCCTAAGTTTTTTAGAAGGCTTTCATGCTAAATTCTATCAACATTAATAGAACCAGGCCTTCAAACTCCCTAATTAGCTCTGGAAAAAACCCCAACTCATCATAAATTTCAAGAATTCTGTGGTATTAAAAAAACCACCTGAAAACAGATTCCAAGCACCACAATCTAGAAATTCACTATTACACATTTCTCAAAGGTCTGTTCAATATCCTAGAACTGGTAAGGCAAGCTGCATGAAATTCAAACCATTAAAAAAAAAAATTAAGCTGTGCATGGATGAAAAAGCTCACAAGGCACTCTCAGGGAAAAAAAAAAAAAGTTTGCAAATGCTACCTATGAGAAAAACCTCTTTATCTTCCTTCTACGTTAGTACACAATGCATCGGTTTGGACTGAATGATATACTCCATCCCTGAGAACTTGTGTCTAAGGGTGAGCCAGTAGGTGTCAAATACTTGACGGTACGACCCAGTCATCAGTATTTAAGTTCCTTGGAATGTTTAGAAACTCAGATCGAACCCAGAATTTTGCTTTTAATTAATAAAATGAAGCTATCTTCACTGAGCTACTACAAGGCACTTCGAGAAGAATAAATCTGTTTTGTTAAAAACAATCAAAATAAACTGCAATTAGGCCTTGCTATTGAATCACAGGGAAGATTTCTATGTCTGCTTTCACAGCTGCAGTTTGCAGCCTCAGCTTCCCTGATGGCCAAAGAGCAATATCATCCTTTTCAAAATTTTCCTGATATACTCATTTTTGCAACTCTGAAGATCACCCGAAGTTCAGCTATGAAGAACCTGGCTACTTACCAAGGGACCTAACGTTTCACTGTCACGTATTTTCTGTTATGGCTTGCACAAAAGCAATTAAGATAAGAAAGTTTCATAGAACTTTACGCAAAATTTATATTGCTGCCCTATTTGCATTCAGTAAGATTAAACAACCTACACTGCAATTTGAAGGCAGCTTTCTTGATATATCAAATTCTTAAAATAGTGTGCTGCAAAAATGGAAAATGCAACCTCCCCTGTCTCACAGGTGTGAAATGCTGCGTAGTGACTTCTGAAGGAGTTGGGAACAGAACTGCAGACCGAGCTGCTAATTCCTTGTTCTACATTAAATCACGCTTAAATTAACACTGGATGAACCTCAATCTGGAATGCTTATGCATATGAAATTACCATATGCTAATTATTAACATATATTAGTATTGTTTAGGGATTATTTTTTCAATTTTTATCTAAAATTTAATTCACTAGTAGATCTATGGCTTAATTTTCTGTTCTACAGGAATTCTTAATTTAACTAAAGAAATCTCTTAAGAAGCTAAATTTTGTATTTAAATCTCTATTTTTAATGAGCTACACACGGAAAACTCACACTGCAGTCATTTTAATAATAAATGCAAAATGCAATTACAGTACATTCATAAAAATAACCGCAAAATAGTGGAGGAGAATACTTGAGTTTGTTTTTAATAAACAGAATATTGCAACTTGTCTTTTATTAGACATTCCCAATGTAACTCAAAAAGTACATTAACTTGAACAGTATTATAACAAAGCAGGACTGAGAAACAAACGAGAAACTCACCAGCAAGAAACCAATTGTTAACTTCCTATTTTCTTGCTGAGTTTCCAGGATCACAAACACATACACACATAATGGATCACTTTGGAAGTAAATCTCCAAATAGCTTAGATTTTCTGATTATTTTTTCTCAAAATAAGTATTAGGCCTTATGTTCACACTGACACTCTGAAAGATTAGCCTGTATTAACTTCTAGAGCACATTAGTCATCGCCCAGGAAACTTTTTAACAATCTTTTTATACACATTACATGCACGTAATAACCATGACATTCCATCACTTTACTCAAACTTACTCCACAGAAGATGCTGTATATCCTCTGTCTTTAACCGCTGCGTCTGACAGCACTTACTCTAGATTTGACATGTAAATTCACACAGTGATAGTCCACAGTGAATGACTGCACTCTGACATGAGCAGAAATTATTTCCAACTTTCAAATACTATGTACAAAGATCACCTCTCTATCCCACTAACATATCTTTGTAATGGTGACCAGTGGAGTGGTGGAACAGGAGATAATGTGGAAGGAAACATAAAACGACAACCTTCCTGCCTCCTCCAATTACTGGAGATGGAAGGCGAGTGATCTTTCCTCCCAAACTTGCCCGTATCCCTACCTAGAATGCATAACTTTTGTGATATGTTTGATTTAAATACATATGCTAAAATAAATAAAGTTGTAATCTACCTCCCTATGTTGTATGCCATTATCCTAGAAGAGACAGAAGGTCTTTTTTCTTTCTTTCCTCCCCTCTGCATGTATGGAGAGAGGACATACATATACCCACGTATCTAAGTTCCTGTGCACAGAAATATGAATCTTCAGTTTCTCATAATGTGGAAACAGGATGGGGCAAATCACTTCCTGTACCACAGTTCTACCTTTACACATGCTTTACTCATTACCTTCAGAAGCCTGGGTACCTACTGATTTCCACTACAAATTTCAGGTGAAGTACCACTGCTTATACAGAAAAGCAACAATATAAGGTCGTAACAGTGAACATTCCCAAAAAAAAGTTTCTAAAGGTGTCCTTTAGATCACTGCTCCGGACAGGCACTAGAAAAACTACATTTGAGCTAGTTCTAGAACTGAACAGTTCGGTGCAATTTAGCAGTGGTCATTATATGAATCACAATCAGACTCACGCTTTAAAACATTTGTAGGTCTTTCTCTTCAGATGGTGCAGTATCGGTGTTTCTAATCAGGTAACTGGAGCTCACACTATCAGAAATCTACCTCCACATCAGGTGAAAAAAACTAAGGCATTAAACAGAATGGCTTGAAATCAGGGGCTGCTCTTTGACAACCACACTATGAAAAAGTGCTTTGGAAAAAGAAAGCCAACAAAACCCCATGACAGCACTATGAATACTGCGAGACATCAAAACCCACAACTTCACACAAGTATGAAACCCATCCTGGTTTTTCACTGTAGGCTAATCTTCTGTTTTAAGCAACACTCTTCACACTTTTTCCACCCAAGTGTGTAACAACTGTGAGATAACATGCCAATTACTAAAAACAAAGAGGTCCAAACAGAAAAAAATGGCAAAAGCGAACAGTTGTTTCCTACCTGCAAAAATTTTTTTACATCAGCAATAATGTCTCTGAAGATGAGGTGATCTTTTAGTACCTCAAACCATCCTAATTTTGTAATTTTAGCAATGACTTGAACGAGAGCTTGGATGACAAAAGGAGCCAGGTTGGGTTGAGATGCTACATAGTTCAAAATGTAATTCCCTGTAATGAAGCATTTTAAAATCAGCATCACAAGTTTTCTGTGAAGAAAATTAATTTAATAGTTCTAACAGAAAATTAAGGCATGGATTTTTTTTAAAAAATAACTACATCCTTATCTTTAGTATAATAACTAAGTTTTGGTTAATCATTAAATGCAGCTAAAGATTCAGTAACACAAAGCGCATTACATATATGACTATTACTGTAGGACACATGACAACTGTTTGTGAATTCACACAGGGCTGGCAGGTAAAACAGAGCAATTTTTCAGTATTATCTTATATGCTGGGAACTAAGTAACAGCAGCTCTCACAGCCCACTCAGGGTACACGAAAGTTTTTTCAGACAAGGGTCCCTACTGGATGTGCTCAATTCTATCTAGAACATCTCTTTGACTAACACATACTGCAGCTGAAAAAATTCCTCTTTAACTACAAGGAAGTTAACCTGTTTCAAAAGCTGTTCAAGTGTATAAAATTGAAGTTGATTACAGTTAATTTTTACATAAAAGAACACTGAAATCTTTCACCAGAAGTGGATTCTTGGCCATGCATGTCATTGTACTACTGTCCCTAGAACTGACAGACAGTGCAGATTTTCTAAAACTCTAAAGCGAACGACACGCTCATCATGCAAATCCTTTCACTGCTGGACACCTAACATATACTTGCTTATTCTTTTAGCAATGACATTAACATGGGTTCTAACAAGCTAGAAAAATTAATCCTGCAAGGCAGAACCTGCCCTGGCAAAACTTTTACAAATGTTAAGAGCTGATCATGAGCAATGTTACATGTAAGTGACCGGTGGGTGTACAGCAATATCTGCAAACTTCATCCTTTACAGATGTGAACTAAATGTCTTTAGCATCTTGTGGGATAAGTATAAAGTCTATATTGAAAAAATAAGTATATTTTAAAACTATGAAGTAATCTGATCTAACACATTTATTTAACTTTGAAACTAGGAAATGCTGTTTGTAGGCTAACTGCAGAGAAATTATGACAGATCTCACAATCACCTTTGTGTTCATGCTCTCACAAGGGCTACTTTGTGAGTAACAGGCTTGGTAACTGGAGAGAACTAGAGAAAAAAGAGACTATCCACTGAACAGTTATTGTGCTAACATGAAGTTTTATATTCAACTAATACAATGACATTTTAACCACAAACGTTACTTACGAATGTCAATCCTTTGTTCAATAGGTAATGGAGACGCCCTGCTTACAAGCTTAGACAGGCAGGTTGCTGCTAGATGTTGAGCATAGGATGTCTACAAAAACATATCAAAAGATACTATTCAAAACCGGGCTAATTAAAGGAAGTGATAGTAAGTTAAAACCTGATGAATAATCAACAAACCAGAATGTAATGTTTGATTGGTAATTTTCATAATATTTTGTTTAATTATAAATAGACACAAATTACAAAACACTAAAAATAGAGATCTAAAACTATCATCCCTTTTGAAGGAAGCCATTAATCTAAAAGTAATTTCACTATTCTATAGAGTTCTTTAGTTTTGAAACTTGGTTTTAAATCACTTGATAATTTAGAAGCACGAGATGATTATTATGGGTCCAGTCCTGGATTATAGATTGTTTAAAATGTGTGTCCTCTTTCTGTTTTTGAATTACTAAAACAAAAACCCAAACAATAGCAAGAATTATACACGTCTCAGCTTCAACTCTCAAATAAGAATCATCTCAATAACTCTGTGACTCTGTGATTTTACCTAGAGTTAACTGTGAAATTAAAACACCAAAAGTAAACTGAGTAATGGTAATACTTTAAACTAACAGACAACGGATAAGTAGTTTAGGGATTTTTATTTTTTTAATTTTTTTTTTCACTGTAGCTAACAGCCAGAAACAAGAATGTGATATTCAAATACCAGGTTATACTACACTGTGTCCCGATGCTGCTCTACAGATGACAAAACCACTGACTCCAATCCTTCTAAAAGTTCTGCACGTACTGAAAGGGAAGATGCTTTCCCTTTTTGTCCCTGACATCTCCAATGCAAGGTATTGTCACTTCTGCAAAGACCACCTCCAAGTGAAAAAAAATTCTAGAATGACTTATAAAACAGAATATGTACAACAAAGCGAACAGAATTTTGCCTTTGTGGTACTGACATGGTGACATCCCATGACTGAGAAACCTGTGTGAGCTTCCACAAGCACAACTACATTCACGGATAACACATCTTTCAGATACTTACTGTTCCCTGTTCTAACAGAAGCTGGCATTGGCTCAGACATTCTGGGCTCTCAATAAGCTCCAAGAGCACCTTCTCAGCCTGCATTCGCTGTGCTAGATCAGTTCCTTCATACAGGTGGTTACATAGCACTTCTAGTTCTGCCAGACTCTGTTAGGAAAGAACAAAATTGAAACTTCCATGAAGACTTTTCAGCCATAGAAGACTTCTCTAAGTGTTTATAAACCTAGATACTATACCTGTAACATGATCTGTAACCTATACTAAGCTTTCCAGATGATTCACATTTAAATCATCAAAGAAACAGGAGGCTTTCTATGACAAGAATTCAAAAACAGCTCTGAAAATTAAGCTGCCATTTCGTACTCTCTCAGCTACCAAATTATTTTTTAGTATCTCTCAAATCGTCTGGTTTTTCTGAGCCTTCATATGGGAAGTCCATAGCTTCTCCAAAGAGAAACGAGAAGATAGAGAAGAGTGAACGGTTTGGGCTATGCTACTTGGAAAACTTCCAGTAAATTTCATTTTAAAAGTTGCACTCATCAAACTACCACACCTGGACACATTGTGAGAAAATAACACAAGACTGGCAAGGAGGACTGTAAACACACTCAGATGACTTACAGCTGGGGTGTTGAAAAATACATGTATAATTCTAACTGTTGTCTATCCTTGTGCTTTTGACACGTCTATGCTCAGATAACACAGGTCTGTGATAAGACTCAGAGGCACCTTATTGAACATGTTTGGGATTCCTGCCCTGCTGTGGAAAAGAGTAAAACATAGTGGAAAATTATGTCTGCAAAAATCCCTGATATACAGAGGCAAAACTGCCAGGTTCGAACGCTTTTTGCTCTCGAGCAAGGACTGAGCTCCACAAAGCCTGTGGTTTCTGCCCAGGTGCTGCTGTGGAGATCCCTGGGGTTTGCAAGGTCACAAGAATAAATTTAGCCTTTGCATTTCATCTGTAGTTTTGTGGTAGTTCCCGTGTCCCGTCCGTGTTGGCTCACACAGCACTGTCGATATCTGTTGCAAATACAAGTGAAAGATGGGACAATTCAAAAGCTATAGCAGCAACACTTTAGTAAAGAAGGGATGTTTGGGGAATATCTCTCTCTGACATGAGGGATATGATTTATATCTACTAGTCACTGCCTCACAGGAGAAATGAACCCTCTGAGCACATTTTGGAATCATTACATAAACAGAAATTTTAGCATCCATCAAATTCCCAAAGTCTACGTAGCTCCCATGGAGAACTGTCCACATCATTAGAAGATGCCCGTTAAATATTCATGAGTGTGTCCTAGAGAGAAGAGGAAAAGAGAACATGCAGTATTTGACCAGTCTCATTTGAAAGTTTGAGTCAATATCCTATTCACCAGCCCTTCAAAAAGATGTTTTGTACTTGAAATAGAAGATTTGGTCCAGCACAATCTAGCATCACTTATATGTAGCCTTTTAAAAACATTTCATCTAAAGGACAATGACAAGCAAGCCTGAACAAAAACTGGAAAACGAAGTTCAAAGATAACAATGTTCAAAGGAGAGTTCATTTATTGGATATTGAGACTGATGACCTGCATCACTTTGAAATGCTTCATCTGGATGTGTTTAGTCTCAGGAGGATGTTATGACAAAGTTTCTTATTGGTAGGCTGGAAGTAGGGCCAGAAATCACTCTGAATTCTGAGACTGGCAAACAACTTGTTAGGTGTTCTCCAGTTACGTTTTACATGCATTACCAACAAAATGTACGAATTTTCTGTGATTCAGATAGTGATATTAACAAAATACAACTTGAAATGAGCAAATACAGCCATCTTATGTAAGATGGCAACTCAACTGATCTCCAGAGATATTATTTAACTTTATTAAGAAAAAAAACATTTGGAGAAACCAATGAGAAGTCAAAAATGAGCCCTCTATATCTGATATGTATTTTCTTCCAGAAAACTGAAGACTGAACAGAACACAATCCCTTCTTCACTGTGAGACAAAACAGGTGAAACTGACGCTTTCAGGTAACTCCTTTACCCAAACCCTTATCAACCACTGAAAGAGGATTCCTGAAAAACCCATACTGTCAGTGAAGAGGATCTTGCAGCTAGATGCTGGCTGCTTTAAGTGAGTTAGAAGCAGAAAAAAGACCTCTATAAGAAGCAGCATTTTCCATTACAAAGAAATGAAACTTTTCCCAAGGAACAGATTCATATTCTAATGAAAAAGGTTAACACACTATGCTTCCCGCCCCACCCTCCTGCTTGTTACATTTTCAAAATATCCAAGAATAGCCTAAACAGAGTTCTCCAGATAGTTCTGGTCCCACGTCTCCAGCTCTCACCAGTCCCTGGCAGCTCTCCCACCAGCCCGTGAAAGAACCAAGGGCCAGAGACGTTGGGAGCCCGGCTCCACAGCAACCCACCGGGCAGGCAGCCAAGGAGCCCAGCAAACGGGCACAAAACCTGGTGGGGTCCTGATGGAGGTTGTGCTGACAGCGACAAATTCCCACAGACATTTTGATTTTAATCAGCATTTTCTGATCAAAAACATTCTGTTAACGAAGTTCTGCCGGCTTTACAGGAAAGCACTCTGACGGAGAGGACCACCAAAACGTCACAATTCAAAAAAAGGAAAAAAAGCCATTTGGGTAGGAGGTGATAACATGGTGTTTAGCAGTCCTTTTACGCAGCATGCCAAGTACCCAAATATTTAAATAAATGCCTAAAATGGCCCCTCTGACACGGTCCCAGCCCGGT